GCACCAACCGGAGAGTCCAACCCAACTTTCAATTCGATTCAGTAATATGTCGTGGTCGACAGTGTCAAAAGCTGCACTGAGGTCCAACAGAACCAGCACTGTGGTTCTGCCACAGTCCATATTTATATGGATATCATTGAATACTTTTACGAGGGCAGTCTCCGTGCTGTGGTGAGCACGAAAACCAGACTGGAAAGTGTCAAAGCAGTTGGTCATCATGAGGAAACTATTTAATTGTTTACACACAGTTTTTTCAATCATTTTGCTGATGAATGGGAGGTTTGAAATTGGCCTGTAATTCTGCAATAGTGATTTGTCAAGGTTGTTCTTTTTTAACAGTGGTTTGATGACTGCGGTTTTCAAGGCCTGGGGGAAAACGCCTGATGTGAGTGAAGAATTTACTATTTGGATGAGATCAGTAGCAATAACAGGCAGGACTTTCTTAAAGAAATGTGTGGGAAGGACATCCAGACAGCAGCAGCTTGAACTTAATTGACTTATAATTTGTTCTAGAGGTTTATAATTAAGTAGTTGAAAGTGGGTCATTATTAATAAATCTTAGAAAAAAGTGTCAAGTCCAGAGCAAAAGGCACCACAAGAAACAAGAGAAGAAACAAAAACTGAAAATGTACAGAGAAAACAAGTGTAAATATTTGGACATTAACAATAATATTTCAAAAACCTTTTTACGTGTACTGCAAAGACCTTCATCGCAAAGAAATGTAAAGTTAGCAATCAGTGTGTATGATATCTGCTGAAGTGGAGCTGCGGTGCCCAGCTGAGAGACGCTGATTGCATCACCAAGACGGCCTGGACCCAGAGGAGCATCCGTCATAGGATATGTGTGTGCGTGCCTGCGTGTGTGTGTAAGTGTGTAAGTGAGCTTAAATGGCCGCGTCAGTAGTCTGAAAGGAGTGATGAGGTCATGACAGCCCTGTCACAGCTGTCTGTAGAGAAATATATGTGACCTCCCACAGTGACAGGTCTAAGTGTTCAGATATGTGAGAAAGAAGCAGCAGAACTCTGAATTTAAGCAAAACGCTGTCACAGACTGAGCAGATTATAATATAACAAAGAATTATTATTTTTAAAAATGGTAAAAGTGGAATTAAATTATGAGTCAGGCTGAATGATCAAATATTAAGTGTCTCCTAATGTGTATTCATCAGGATTTTCCACATCTTTCGGCAAATCAGGATTCCACATTAACTGTAGATTATTTTAATTTGACTTGATTGAAAAAAGAACTTCACATAAGGTCAACAATTGTGTTAAGAATCTTAAGATTGTGCTCAAAAATGTTTAATTAGCAATGATTGTCAATGATTGCAGAGAACATGTGCTTCCCATTACGATATGTTCATTTTCAAAATTAGATCCCTCTGAAGCAATAAGTCTGCTTTTGTAGATAAATATTTTCTACACACCATTCTTTACCAATGTATGCCTTAGTATGCCTGAGGGCAAAAGTATTCATACCCCTTCAATGTTCCACAGTTTGTTCCATTCCAACTACAAACTTCAATGGGAAATTAAGAGGAACACAAAGCAGCACATAATAATGAAGTGGAAGAAAATTCTTCTTGTTTTCAAAATGTGTAAACAAAGATAAATACAAATCTATCACAGTCTTACATTCACTGGTGTGAAGTCCTGCCAAAGAATCTCAATTGAATGAAGATCTGCACTTTGATTAGGACAGTCTGACACCTGAATATTTCTAAGCCTCTATTGTAGTTGTGGCTGCATAACTTTGGTCATCGTTCTTGTCTCGAGTCTTTTGCAGCTTGACGAGCCTCCCCACAGCATGATACTCCCGCCATCGTGTCAGCAGGTGGATGGTGTGCTCACAGTGTTATTCAGTGTTTGTTTTTGTCCAAACAACATTTCACATATAGTCCAACAAAAATTATTTTAATCTCAGAGTTAATCTTGAAATCACAACTAGGACTTCCATTCATAAACCTTCTTGCCACTCTTCGATAAAGAATCAGATTTATGTTCTGCATGACTAGCAGTTTCTTTTATAACAGTAGCTGTATCTATACTGAGGGCAACTTTATTTACTATTAAGGTAACTTCTTCATACAAAAGGTAGCACTGGATTTTCATCTTTGAACATAAACTTCAAATACGAGTTACTTTGATTTGGTTCTTTAAATAAAATTTCTGATGTTGAGCTGCTGATTTGATAAATTGGACATTGCATTAATTTGACAAATAAGGAAAAGTTCAAGATGGATATGTGTTTGGCATATTTGAACAAAGAAATATTTGATCTTTGTTGAAACAGTTCCCATAGTTACAGCTGAGTGTTTGACCACAATGTCAGAAATAAACAAAGTGAGGATGAATCATAAGCGTTGAGGGCTGTGTGTCACTCTGCCTCTGAAACCTTTCGCTGGGCTACATTCATTCTGATTAACCCGTCTATCTCTGAGTTATACCCACACATCTTTTCTTTAAGACACACACACAGATGGCAAATTTAACTTAACAAAGTGTCAGCGCAATTGTTTAACTCCGATTGTTTAACTCGCTCTCGAAGATCGTTATTTCATTTTATGCCTGAATATATGCCGACAATCCTTTCACCCTGACATCCACGCCTACACCCCTCTGCCGTCTCACCTCATGTTTTCGTAGCTCCATTAGGCTCAACGCTGTCACCTGTCACCTCCATCATGCCGTCCTCTTTAAGAGGTCTGGCATTCATCATTCCATCCCTTCCCTTCCCTACATCTCCATCCGCTTGTCCTTTCTTCTAATATGGCTGACATTTCCTGCCTCGGTCTCTCTCGTCTGAATAAAGCTAAAGTGCTGTCTGGAGGGCCTCTGTCGTAGGTGGCAGAATTACAGCACTCAGGACAAGGCCACAAGTTAAGTGCACTCTGAACAAAGAAAAAGTGTCAAGAAGGTACACAATGGAGGAGCGGTGTTTATATGCAAGATTGGAGAAGAGGACAGGAGGAAGTTCAGCATAAGTAAAGCACATGAAGATGCAATGAACCAAACTGGCATCATGCTTGCCAAACATTACAGCCTAATAAACCTAATAAGGCTGTAAGACAGAAGCAGCTGTGATTTACGTTAAGGCAGGATTTCTACTCCAAGTTCCAAAGAGTTAAAGGTTATTAGATATATTAGATATTTACAGAACCAATAAAGCTGAGATGTGGGAATTAAAAAAATAATAAAGTGTAACTGCAATTTCCACAAGCTTTCCAAAAGGCAACCTACCCCAACTAAACTGTCATCAGTTTTAACACAAATTTGTAAGTCTTGCCATAAATTACCAATTAGATTCCTGTCTAATAATTTCACAAAATTTAATTTCACAAAAAACACTCTTTTTAATCATTTATATTATATCTGGAGGGCACTAGGACTCATAAGGTATTTTTGGGGATTTTTCTTTTTCTCTTCTTGAAAATGGGTTGGGAAATAGCTGAGGAGAGTATTTATTATATTGTTCAGAGAGCATCAATATAATATAAATAGTAAAATGTATATCTTACAATTATAAATTTGCAAATGTAAAATGCAAATTTATAATTGTGTTTCACAATAATATATTGTAAATTTAATAATAATTTACAGAGCATTGAACAAAAAAACAAAAACATACACGTGTGAACGACATCTGTGCTGCGACTTGTACTGTATTTACAGATTGTTTTGCATGTACCTTCACAGAGTCCTAACATGCCATAAGTGCAACACTTTATGTGCAAACAACTTACAGGCACTGCAGAGTTGAGACAGAACAGAGAGGAGAGCATCTTTGTGCTGTTTAAGAAGTTTTAAATAAGTTTTTTTTTTTTAGGAAGAATTAACAAGAGGACTTAAATATTTCATCATATCTGAGAATAAGAGCAGAGCATGCATGCCAAGTACGTGTTGCTTTCAAGTGTGCAGTTAATTCAAAGTATTCTCCCACAGCCATGTAGACATGAATATGAGCCTCCAACAGCTGGGAAAATAAAAGCAAACGACAAGAAAAAGTAAAACAGCGGGAAAAAAAAGTTTATTTTGCCATTTATTTGACACTGTTTGGCTCTTATGCCAATCAGTCTCTCACTTTAAATCAGAGTAAAATAGATGTATTCATATTTTAATTTTAACATGATAATCATTTGAAAGAGCTAAACAGTGATCCATGCAATGAAATGTGACATTGGGTAAAATAATGTGTGAATGTTTTGCTTCCGCCTCGTGTCCGTATGGTCTTCATCAGCTTTTTCCATTAAATATACGTGTTAAAAAGCACTAAAAAACATCCACTTAGAGGCGAAAAATACACAATACAGAAAAAAGCTGAACTTTAGGTCAAACCCTGCTGGCTCTGCAACAGCAAAACAACATGAGCTAAACACCCACAAAGCATCATGGGACCTGGATGATGTGGGTGTATTGATTTCTATGTGGGAGGGAGAGGAAGAAGGGCGGAGCTAAAACTGGAAATGCAGGAGATGGCCGATATCCACTGAGTGAACTTTAAACGTTCATGAGGCGGAGGAGTGGATGTAGTGGAAAAAAGCCGATGAAGCAAATATGAAAGAAAACAAAGACTGAAAGAAGAGAGAAATGAGAAGGAGGAAGCTGAAGGGTGGTGACGCTGCAGCCACACCTCACAATAAAAACAAAAGCTTAGATTTTATCAGAGGAAGGTCGAAAGAGAGGCAGAATCTTATATGTGCATCACCCACCTGGTGATGATCCATTGGAAAAGGTGTGTGTGTAGAGATGAAGGGGGTTTTCAAAGTTTATAGTTCACATTATTTTAAGCCATAGATCCTATGGATATGATTTTGGAGCAATAGCAATAAAAAAAACGTATTTCCCCCCTAAATTCATAAATCTTTCTGATATGGTGAGCTCAACAGACTTGCAGTTCCATCAGGTGTTTACTAATTCCTGCTGCTGCTAGTCTGGAGGAACTGAGTATGGGAGACCTGCTCTGTGGCAGGAAGCTTGGCAAAAGAATGACTGAATCCTACCTGGCAGAAGACTGGTTTGTATGTTTCAGAGAAGAACTGGGCCAGTTCCTCGGAGTCGCAGAGGTCCAGAGGCAGCCGGTCCACACAGAGACACTTGGAGTGCAGGTTCTCCTCCTGGCTCAGCTGGTTGACATCCATCCACTGAACCATCAGCGACCGATCCCCCTGCAGCATTAAGCACAGACACCAAGTTTAGATTTTCAGTCAGCCACATGAAAATCATTTAAAAATATAGATAATGGATTCAATGTATTAAGTGCAAACTGAGCTAAATTTATCAGTGGTATAAAAAATGTACAGGAATTGAGATCTGTAGAGTCTGAAGTCACTCAAGCATCACAAGTAAAAGGTCAGAAAGCTTTTGCATTGAAGGATATTCGTACAGCAAAATGAAGATGTTGCCATGAGAATAAGAATTATCTTATTTACACAGTTGCAGTTTAAGTTTTTCTTTACAAATGAAAACTTAATATGGAAGACCCCATATTTGGTATCATAAATCAAGTTCTAATAGAACTCATATTAAATTGATATTTAGCTAAATGTCTGATTATACATTTTCATGTATAATCTCTTTCATCTTGACTCATTTTCATCTTTGAGTCAAATGAGGAAATTAATTTGCTAATTTTAAAATCAAGAAGTCAAAGATTACATAAATCTGCAGCTGGTTAGTTATGTCAAGGATAAAATATCTCGTAGCAAGAAAAGGTAAAATAAATCTAATCTTTGTTTCGGGGACATTCTGAAATTTTCACAACAAAAGATCAAAATGGATGGATGCCATTTTTTTTGTGGTTTAACGTACCAGAGGTCGACCCAGCAGCTCCGAGCGGGCCCGCGAAGCGGAGTCCTTCTTCATGTACTCGACAAACCCATATCCCTTGGAGTGGCCCGTTAGCTCACTATAAACCAGGAAGGAGCGCTCGATGTTTCCATACAAGCGCACCAACTCCTCAAACTGCTGCGCCGTGAAGGTGTGGGGCAGGTTGGTAAGGCAGAGCAGGGAGTCTGTGGGCTGCAGGGTGACGTTGATCAGGCGTCCTCGGACAGTGCTGTGGTGGAGGGAGCGGATGGCATCCTGAGCCTGGTCCCCGTTCAGCAAAGTCACAAAGGCTGGAGGAGGGACATTATGGAGACGCCAACAAAGGGGAGAAGACGAGACGAAGGATGGGAGCAAACACAAAGAAAGAGATGCACATACATGGGTGGGGACAAACACAAACACCAACATACATTTAAAGCACACACGAACATGCAAAACATGCCCGGAAGCACACGGAAGAACGTAGATGACCAGCCAAATGTGACAAAAAGAAAAAAAAAATAGGCAAAAAACAACAGAAGGCGCAGACACAGTCATAAAAAACAGACATAGACATACACAGAGAGAAAGACAACACATTAGCTAGAAAGCCAGTCGGGGGCCAGTATGTGGGGGAATCCACTGTGACACACACAAACCGTCTCTAAAAACAACCGACTAAAAGGGCAAAGCAATGACAGTCATAAATACAAGTATACAGAGACTGTTTATCATCATTGACATTCAGCAGTTATTAAACACCTTAAAACTCCTGCATCATTCAGGTTAAACATTTCCCTAATGGAATAGAAGACAAAACTAAATTTAATCACATTAGTTAGTAAATTTCTTCCTCGCTATTCCACAATGGAACAGCAGAAAAAACAATTAGGGTTTTTTTGACCCATGAGTACTTATGACTTCAAAATAAATTGTGAATTTTTCTAAGTAGGGTCATGTTGGATGTCTTTTTCTGTAGACAATGTCACTGAAAGCTGCTTTTTGAATTTCCTATGGTCATCATTATCTGATATCAAAATTTATTTCAGAACGATTAAGAAGGAAAAACAAAACATCTGAGGGCAGACAGGAGCACAGCTAATGACTACCCAGCAATAATTTCAAGAGTTATTTTGTGTAACAGGAAAAACTCATTTAAACCTCTGGCATTATTTCTGGAACAAGGTACAACATAGGTTAATAAAATCTACGGTTACTTTAATTTGTTAAACTATGGATTAAGCCTTTGCGTCATTGCCGTAAAACTGAGATTCTGCAGAGAAAATACGCTTTTTTTGGTTTCAAACACATTAAATAAATCTGAACAAAGCTAAGTATTGCTGTTGTGCATATATAGTATGGATTAAAGAGGGCGAAAAAGTGGAGTAGCTGAATATGGGGTTAACACTGCTAAAATCTTTCAGGAGTCTAATGTTACACAAATATAACTGTTGTCAGGTGGGTTTCTGTAGTTTAGAGTACATGCGCAGGGCACTGTGAGTGTTTGACCCGACTGAAATGCCACTGTGGCTCTGGAAAATGGTGCTTTATTCACATGTATGCCCCTGTATCAGAAAATAACCCACTGTCTGTTTTCTTTTTGTTAGATTTCAAACCTTGCCTATGTGACCCTGACCCTGAAGTCACGTAGGTTCTCTTCCTAAAATAAGAGTTTTGAGTGCTCTACCAGTGAACTCACATCAGGTATACTGGCTGTAGAAAAAGTCATAACTAAAAGATGTTTCATCTTTATTGTGGAACCGTTGTTACTCCGTTCTATCTGGACTTTCTTCAAACTGCAATATTTTCACAGGCAGTTTAAGCTTGTACTGGACGTCCCTTTTCTGCATTCCCACAATAAAGCTACATGTTAGAGCAATGTAAAAAACTTGACACAGTGGAGGATTAACTGAGTATCTCATCTTCCATTACTGGTGAAAAAAATAGAGAAGCTATTTATTGCAAGGTCGGTGTTAAAAGTGAAGAGGCTTCAGACTCAAATTACAGGTAAGAGAGCTCCATTTGTGATGTTGGAAGCAATCCGAACTTTTCTGATGTACAGATATGGGCACTCTTACTGAGGCTACACTCACAAAGCAGGCAAATGCATTAAAAAAAATTGTCCCATATGCATCTCATATCCAACTTCTTTATGACAATTCTGATCTTTTCACAACCCAAAAAAATCCATTTCCATATGTGGTACTAAATCATATACGTATCCGATAGTTTTCAAAGTGTCAGCAGTTTGAATGGCCATGTTACGTGGAAATTTTTCTGCCATAATCCAAAAGCTCAAATGTTCAATCTGAAAGCAGGATTTCATGTCTTTTGTTCTCAAAACTTGTATTACTTTTGCTTATATTTTTATTTTGAAAGCAGGATTTAATGTCTTCTCAAAACTTGTAAGACTTGTACTCAAAACTTCTCCTCGAGCTCACACTTAATCTGCTTGCTTACGATACATGGAACTGCCTTTTGGCACAGCAGCCAAGCAACCTATCAGCCAATAGAATGAGAGTGTTGTACTGGGTGAGTTTTGAGCACAATCATTACAAGCTTTGAGAAGAAAGACATAAAATCCTGCTTTCAGACTGGCTGATGTGGATGGAATATGGCAGAATAATTCCCCCACCCCATGTCGCATTTAGGCGACTTTTACGTCATAATTCTGCACTCGTGTAGTCCAAACATGGTAAATACAGATGTAAGCAAAGGCTGATGCAAGCAGTGACCATTATGAAAGAAGTCAGGGTCAGTACAGCTCATCACATCACAATCCAACCACTCTTGGCTCTGACTACAGATCCAAACAGACTTCTTCACAAACATTGCAGTCAATGCTCCACAAAAAATTTGTTGCTATTAGTTGTGCTTTCTTTTTTATTATCTTCCTTCATCTCGTTACAATCTTGTGATAACACTTTCGACAAAAATTCACCCACCAGTGTACTGTAAAGTGGCAACTTACCTCACTGCATCTTCGATACAGTGACATGCTGCAAATGTCCTTTCTAACATTTTTTCTCATTTGAAGAGAATTACAGATCCCATCACCCTTTTTACAATATATCCAGCCTTACAGGGTTACCGAGAACAGAGCTTTCAATCTTTAATGTTTTTTTTTTTTTTAATCTCCCATGTTTCTGAGCCTTGGAACAAAATTCTCAGCACAGCTGAGCTGTCATTACGGTTAACTTTCATAAGTAGTGCTGTCATTAGTTGCAGCAGCACTGAATGTTTTCAAAACTTTAAAGCAAGAACTTACAGAAAAAACAAAAACTCTTTAAAAGCTCATTTTAAGCTTTATTGTTCAAGAACTAAAAATGCTGCTCACTGCTGAGTTACTGAATGAGTGGTAATCACATCTGCACTTCAACTTTTAGGGCATTGTAAGTCAAGCTACATAAAAGGGCATTGAAACTGGTGGAAAAGATCTGTTTGTGACAGGTTGTCTTAAGATTATTAATTATATTTACTCAATTGGATTGTGTAATTTATTTGCTTTGTCTTATTACATTGATAAAGCTCAATTACATTGAATTTATTTACTTTTTATGCATCCTGTAATCAGTGACCTGCTATGTGACAAAGGTGAATTACATTATGTCATATCGCTTCTCTGCGTCAGTCTAACATCGGAACATTTGCAGTTTATTATTGTATCATTCAGAACCTGTACATGAAGACAGTCCACTCATTCCAGCTGTAGCAGCTTCTACTGTTCTGAAAGGGCTTTGTACAAAGTTACGGGGAATGCAGTGGTGGTCCTAGCCAGTTTGGCGCCCAGGGCAAACCAGCCATCAGTGTCTGGGGTCAGATGCTGATGTTAACGTCTTACACATTGGGCTTCTTTTTGAAAAATGGCATGCTCAGAGTAAATTCAATACATGTTGGGAATTATAAGCTTTATTTGAATTGTTCCGGTATAAAATTAATGGCAAGATACTAGATAAAACTTGAGAGGTCTAAAATCCAACACTCATGTTACTTAGTGAGAGTGTTCTCACAAAGACGGGAACATGAAACTGACCAAAATGTCTTGGTATTATCAAGCATTAAGAGTTTCCGTCACTGGAACTAAGAGGCTGAGCTCCACATCCCCTCTGAACCAAACTCAACTCAGATTCGTTAACTAGATTTCCAGCCAGAAGTAAGATTCATAACTCCAGAGAACACTCTTCCATTGCTTTACAATGCTTTTCATTGCACTTGGTGATTTAAGGCTTGGATGCAGCTGCTCTGCTAAGGAAAAACAATCTCTGCATACTGTTCTTGAGCTAATCTGGAGCCATCAACTCTGCATCTTGGCATCTGCCAGCCCTGCTCTGTGATTTCACTTCATGGTTCAGTTGCAGTTGTTCCCAACTGCTTCTGCTTTTTAGTACCACTAACTATAGACTGTAAAATAGGCTTACACTCACTGAGATCCTGGGAGTGACTAAAACTTTCACTAATTCTTGCAGAAGCAGCAAGAATTCTGCAAGAATTATGACTCGGTGCAAAATTCTGTTGAAACTGGATAGAGAACAGATTTGAACAGAAATGAACCACATTTTGGCGATGTGGTTCATTTTAGATTCATGCTAAAATACAATATCATAAAAATTAAAAAAAAATACCTCTGCAACAGCCCTTTGGCACAGCGCTAATAGAAACTCCAAAGCAGATACATTTGTTTTTGTAATCTTAGTGTTTGCAGTGAAACTGGTTGTATCTGGTCTGTTACTGTTCATCTTTAATGTTTTCACTAAGCCAAAGAGCAGATTATGGTAGAGAATCACTGACTGCCAAAGAAGACACGATCCACAAACATAGTCAAATATGAATTGATGCATAGTTGGTCAAAGTCATGGCAGACATCTCAATTATGTGCCTGGACTTCAATTTTTATTGGTCTTGATAATCAGACAAAAACACAGAATAAAATCAGGAAGACATTACATCAACATTTATGAACCCATATTTTGCTTGCTCTCTGTTAGGATATTGTAATTTCCCTATAATGCTAAAGCTCACATAACTTTAGCCTGTTAAAAACTTTAGCCTGTTAAAAACTTGACATATTGAGATGGTGGTCATGAAGAACAGCTCCAGACTTCTCAACTATCTAACTATATAATCCAGATATCCAACTAAATATTGTATGGTGATTGTGATTTTGTATACATTTATACTGCAATTCAGCTTTCATTTTTAACCAGGTGACTTTTTTTTTCTTTTTGGAGGTTGGCAATCAACCTCTAAACCTTCCAGAGTTTAATACCACCTGACACCATCCTGCTTTCAGAGACAAAGCAGGCGTCGCTGA